TAGCTCCAGTTAATTAGATTGTACAACACGCCTCAAATTAATTATAGCACAGTGTTTATATGGGATGTGTACGAAGCCCGAATGGGAAGAGAACGCGACAAACCAGAATGTTAATCTACGTGAGAAAGTTAACACCTCTTCGCTAAGTGGATTGTTGGTATAATTACAAGTTAAATTTGAATGGAGTAGGTTATCATATTTGCAAATTCATTGTTTTGATGCTTGCTTAATATTTCACTGCGACAATATATGACAGTTCGCTTAAAAGTTTTTCACAAATGCATTTTTATTAACAAAATTAACTTATTATCTAGGGTACGACCACTTGCCTTTAGCTTGTTCATATTCGTTTTATCTAAAATACTGTTAACAATTTACCGACGCATAGAATTCTTAGTTAAAATTATGGCAGCAAATAAAGTGTGTGGCAACTGTTTGATTTAATACTGCAATTCATATACAAAATTATTACTTAATTGTAGATTTTAAGGAAACTTTGTTAGAAAACTTTTGCTTTGTTTTAAAAAATAATAAAATTATTCATTTATTTATTTATATTTTCATTTATTATGAGTGTCACTCACAGAAACCATTTTTAATAAAAACCGAAAACAAAAGCAAAAATGTTAGTAGGCATCATATCCAAAATTAAAGTTAATGTTCACAAATTAAATATAAAAAAAATAACTGTAATAATAATACAAGAAAATTAAAAAAAAACACATTTCCAACTGAATACCTATCGGATCATTAAACTGAGGTGGATTTTACTTGATGAAAATCCATTTATCAAAATAAATAAGAACTTCCCGAAATTATATATTTTTACGTGACAATTTTTTCGACAACACCGTGTATTTATCAAATCTAATATTTACAAACTACCTGTTACTATATATACCGAAAAATGACCATAAAACGTTAATTAAGGTTGTTGTGGGAATTTGGGATTTTAATTTCAATAAAGGAGAGGTATTTAAATCCAATTGATTGTTAAGCAATACATTTGAATGTCTCACTTTGTTAATCTCCATGGCTTCCAATAAATTTAACTTTCTACTTTTTGTGTTTTTCTGTGTTTATGTGTGTAGTATAATTGGAATGTAGACTATTGTTTTTAAACGATCTTTTATGTTCGTTAATGCGTTTCTGGAAGGATCTAGCTGTTTGTCCAATATAAATTTTAGGACAAGATCCGCATTTCAACCTGTAGACACCTGATTGTTGAAATTTTGGACATCTCGTTGTTTTTCAAAAAATTTCCTATTGTGTTGTTAGTTCTGAAAGCTATTTTTATACCACATTTTCACTAATGTTTTCAAACTTTTTCACTAGGTTCTCCTATATATGGAATTGTTCTGTATTAGGTTTCGGATAAATAGAGTTTACTGTTGTCTGGATTTGTTTTTTATTTATAATTTTATCTATAATGGAAGGATTGTAGCAGTTGTTCAATGCAATTTGTTTAATGATATTAAGTTCTATGTTGTAATTTTCTGTTGAGAGTGGCGTATTAAGAAGTCTGTGTATAAAAGAGTAAAATGCAGCCATTTTTATGTATAAGGGTGATTTGAGCTGTTATATATGACTGTGCCCGTGTGTGAAGGTTTATAATAAATGAAAAAATCAAATTTGTTTTGCGTTTTCGTAATGGTTAAATATAAAAAATTAATAGAGTTATCCCGTCCAATCTTGATTTTGAATTTTACACGATTAATTAATGAGTTAATGTAATTTAAAAAAGAATTCAATTGTCTGCCCGTTACAACAAAGCAATCAAAGACATCATCCACGTATCTATACCACCATAGTAAAAGTTTTCTTAATACGCCACTCTCAACAGAAAATTATAACAAAGAACTTAATATCATTAAAACAAATTGCACTGAACAACGGCCACAATCCTTCCATTATAGATAAAATTATAAATAAAAAAACAAATCCAGACAACAGTAAACTCTATTTATCCGAAACCTAATACAGAACAAGAACAATTTAAAACAATAACATACATAGGAGAACCTAGTGAAAAAATTTCAAAACATTTATCAAAATGTGTTTTAAAAATAGCTTTCAGAACTAACAACACAATAGGAAAATGCGGATCTTGTTCTAAAATTTATATTAGACAAACATGTAGAACTTTCAACAAACGCATTAACAAACATAAAAGATCATTTAAAAACATTAGTCTACATTCTAATTATGCTACACACGTAAATACAAAAAACGCATTTTGACCACAATTTTGATATTTTACATACAGTCACAAAAATTATAAAAATAAATTTATTGGAAGCCATGAAGATTAACAAAATGAGACATTCGAATGTAATGCTTAACGATCAATTAGATTTAAATACCTTTCCTTCCATGAACTTGAATTCTCACAACAACATTAATCAAGGTTTTATTATCATTTTTCGGTATATATAGTAACAGGTAGTTGTTAAATATTACATTTGATAAAGACACGGTGTTGTCGAAACAATTGTCGTGTAAAAATATATAATTTTGTGAAAATCGCAACTTTTAGTTCTTATTTATATTATTATTGGATCATTTTATCTACTCTAAAAGGGTCCTGCCCATATTGTTTATATATTAGAACTGATATGATATGAATTAATTAAATTCATACTACATTTAAAAAAACATTTGTAAAAGGATGTGAAGTCATTTAAATTTAGAATAATTGGACATTTTTTGGAAATTCAGGAGGGTTAATTGATCGCTTTGCGAAGTTCTGCTATAGATTCATATATGGTTTTTATAGCTTATTTTTCATTAAACTTAAGATTGAAAATTCTGGCAGAACGTTAGGCAAACAAAATTAAAAAGAATGCTATTCCAAAGTGCTGACATTCGTAATTTAAGTTGATGGTGGTTTAAATAAAACGAAACGTAAAAGACTTTCCCTTCAACTAAAGACGAAGCTCTAAAAGTTCCTGTAGATTTTGTGCAAATTAAAAAATTAAGATCGTAAAAAAATAAAATCGTTAACCAAAAATGATTAATTTTCGTTATTTTACTAAAAAGTATATGACTTTAAAATTAAATTAAAAAAAATAAGCGAGATTGCAAGATTTTATTTTTTAAATTCTTAAAGGGTATTTAAGAAACTTTACCTTTCTCTGTATTAATCCAAACAATATTGAGTTGAATGACAAAGTAGAACGATTAGGTAGGTTAAATTGTTTATCGAAAATTATTTGTTTATGCTTTCATGGCGAATTTCATTTTATCTATGACGAAGTGTATTCTCCGAATTTAAAATTTTATTATTATTTATTTAAAAAGTTTCTATAGAGTTTGGGCAAAAAAAAATTGTACTTTTACATATTGAAATATGCTGGTGGAAAAATATCTAGATTAATGTTTAAATGTTTCATAAGGTTAATCAAGCGTTTTTAACGAGCAGCAAACAACCACTAGTGGGTAACTACCATCGTATTCAGTTTAATTCCAAATTGGATTTTATATTATCTCGTAGTTGTCTGTAGATATTATTCCCTTTACCGCTAATATCGATTTATCATCTTACATTAAATCTCCAAATATTTGCTTCGAACGACGAATATGTATGCAAAGGGATGTTTGTTGCCTACAATTAATTCATCCGTGGAATATTATTGCTACTGAAACAACTACACATACACATATTTGATTTGTGATTAATAGTTACTCGTTCTAAGTTACTTACATTAAAACTTAAATATAAAAATCTACCATTTCAATATTCAATGTTGCTGTGTCTTTTAATCAGATCTGGCAGCGCTGCAATTATGATAGTAATAATAATAAAAATAATAATAACAATAATAATAATGACATTTATTATTCCACAAGTCAAATTACAATTACAAATGAACTCAAACTGATCTCGATGAACTGCAGAGGAAAATGCGTGTTACGCTAAGTAAATATAGAATGAGACACCCGAAATCGGCAGTCGAGAGAACATATCCAACATAAAGCAAATACACTACTCTCAAGGGAAAAGTCTTATAGAGTACTTCTTGAAAAAGAGCGCCGAGTCTACAATGTTTGCAGTAATATGTAACCACGACTACGAAATAACACCACTGAAGTTGAAGGGTGTCGAAGAGAATGTGTATGCAGCGGAGCAAACAGACGAGTGGAAACATAAACAACTACACGGCACACACTCTACCTACTTAAACCAAGACAATATAGACAAGACCGCGTCTAACAAACGGTTGAAAACGAGTTCCCTCTACGGCGAAACAATTGGATTGATGATGGCCATCCAAGACAGAATAATACCTACAAGAAACCATCTCATATTATGGGAGAAGATGTCGACGATAAGTGTCGGAGATGTGGACATAAAGGAGAAACCATCGAACATATAACAGGAGACATTGGTGCGCCATGATTATACCCAGAGGCATGACAACATTGCAAGAATAGTACATCAGGACCTTGCGAATCGGCAAGGGGATCAATTCCTTATTACGAATATGACCCAAAAGATGTATTGGAAAATGAATACTTTAAACCTATATTGGAATTGAGAAATCAGAACTGACATCAAGATCCAAGCAAACAAACCTGATCTCCTGCTATATGATAAAAGAAATAAGGAAAATACTATCGTCGAAGTAACCATACATATGTGGATAGTAGATCGGGTCAACGTCAGACCAATCATTGAATCGGCAGCGGGTATAATACCAAAATCCACTATGACTCACGCAAAAGGACTAAACATAGAATACCTCATACCCCAACTCCAGAAATCGGTGATACTGGACACCTGTCACATTGTTAGGCGATTCCTGGCAATGGAATAAAAGATTTATGCAGAATGGCTTGACAACCGTCCGTCTGATGCAATGTTGATCACGGAACTACCGTTTAAAAACGAGAAAAAAAAAACAAAATAAATAATAAATAAATAATAATGACATTTATTATTCTCTAAGTCAAATTACAATATATATATGTACATATTTAGACAAAAAAAAACACACAATGTAAATAGGAAAACATGGACACATATAAATATCTCCGTTTTTTACAAACTAATCTAAAACTCAGTCCAAAAAATCAAGCAAAAGGTAAGTCGCATCCTTAAGTAGTTTTTATTGATAACGATGTGCAAGCCACGTGTTTTAGTTAATTGGTTAAGGTGAAACATTCAGATAAGTACGAAATTTTTAGATTGTTAAAGTTTACAGTACACCTTTTGAATATTGCGCTAGTCTCTTCGTTCCGAAATATAATTTTTTATAACCCAGGTAGAAAAACCAGTCATCTTTGGCTTTCTAGTCTGGAAATTGCCACTTTGAGCCAAAGTCCGTCGTTATCAATAATTAATTTAGACAACATCTTGTCAGGCAAAATAAATCTATGGGTTCGCGACACATCCATATCATCGTTGTAACATATTAACCCAGATGATAAGAGTTCAATCGACGACGTGCTTTCCCTGATAGAAAATATATCAATACTGTAGGTTTCGTGTTCCTCGTTTCTACCTCCTATTTCGCAAATGTTGATGCTGATGCTGTTGGATTGGATGTAGAATTCTAGGATAATTCGAAATATTCGATCTGAAACAATAATATCTTAAGTTTTTTTTTTTGTTAAACAGTTAGTGAGGTGCACAAAAATAAAACAAAAACGAAAATATTTTGGAAAAACAAATTTATCGATATTTTAGTTATCGCAGGTAATGCCTATAACCTATTTCTACTCCCTACACTCAAGAAGTGCATTTTTTGCGCTTACATCGTTACTTTCACGGAAAATTTAATGAAATCTGCTCATGTTTCCAAAAATGTACAAATGGTCGAAAGCCCGAAATAGGTAAAAAGCATCCGCATACAATTTTTCCAGTGGCCAAAACTACACTTACCATAGACGCAAAAGACCAATACATATAATTGGAAATAACTTTCTGGCAACGGTCTCCCCAAGCCACAAAGGTAAATGCTCGTAGGAGTGTCAAAGTAGAGGTTTTGGAGATGTTGCTTTTTTAAATGTTCTTCTAAATGTCCCCTGCTTCCGGACCACCTGCACCTGTGACATTTGAGAGGGCATTCTATTGCAACGTGATCGCATTTTATAAGATGCGACAAAAGTACAGCGCCTTTTATCTTCTCCTCACAACCCTCATGGGGACACGGCACTGTCAATTTGTTAAATACGTTTTCCAAAATATAAAGTTTACCTTTCCTAAATAAACCTCTGAAAAATAAAAATTTACATTAAATAAAACCTTAACTTTTGGCATGTTGTAACAAAAATAACTCTCTTTTCTTAAACTTTTTGCATTAAAATTTATGTACCCAAACACATGTTAAGATATAAACAATATAAATAAAGTAAACTTTTCTCTAGTTTGAAAAGTTTTTTTTTAATACATAAATACACATCCCAAGCGTTTTGCAATTTTTTTGTGTTCTCAATTTCATAACACTGAAACAACACATTTTACCAGATAATTTTAACAATAGAAGATAATTGATTAATTCCGTCTAGGGAATTACGAAAGGCAAATATTTAATATTTACAATAGAAGTTCTACAAAATAAAGTAACTTAAATTAGCACCAACAATATTTAACATATACGCGAGTGTATATCCCAGTAACTTTTTAGCAAGCAACTCTAACTGTAATTACAGATGCTACAGTTAGCACAGTACTAGAATACAATTTATTGTTTATATTATTTTCTATTACGAAAAATATCAAGCCTTTATAAAAAAAATAGTGATTTTTTCGGGCTTTTTTTTATAAAACTTCTGGATTCTTCCTGCGTCGGTTTTTGTTGAGTTGAATTAGCTAACTTTTCGCCAATCATCCTGTTGGCTTCGTCAGAGCGTGACTGAAAACGAAGCTCCGAAGAAACCAACAGGATGATTGGCGAAATGTTAGCTAGATCGACTCAACAAAGTATTACAGTAGCCTGTGGAAGTTTCTTTGAAAAATTAAAGAATAACGAAACATTTATAATCTAAAAGGTTTGGACCAATTTGGGAAAAAAACATAAACAAAAAAATAACTTTGTCGATATGAGATTCCCCTTTACAATGTTTTTCAAAGCTAGGGAAAAGTGGTACAAAAAATTAATATGTAATGTCTAATTTCCCATGCATTGCAATATTACGTCTGAGAGTCAAACGCAAATTGGATATTTTAAAAAATTGTAACGCACACTGCTGAACCTACCGACAAATTGGGCACACTGTGAGCTTCCTCCAACATTTTCTGCACGTGGTGTGACCGTTAACACACATTTTGGCATCGGGAAATATGTAATTGTAACACACAGGACACAAAAATTCCGCTATAATTTTCTGCTCCACTTCTTTATCATCCAGCGACATATTGGCAGTATCCCGACATAGATCATCTTCCGAAATCTAAAAAATAATTTAACTTTAACGTACACATCAACAAGAACTTTTGGAGTTAGCAAAATACCAGTGATAAAGCTAAATATTCAAATACAAATTTTGATCATGGTTTCTTTAACATATACTTTTATTCACGCTCCATTGAGCTGCCGCTAGCAAACCGGAAAATGTACCAAGATATTGTGAAATGTTCTTACCATTTTTATATGAAGACACTAAGTTGCTATACCACTACACCAAAGACGACTGAGTTGTAACTGATAAAACCGTAGATAAAAATTTTCTTAAACCTTCTCATAATTGAAGAGCAGTTAATGACAACGATGTGGACCTACCTGAATCGCCTTAATTATGCGATTTAAGAAAATTAAGGTGTATTAACTTTTCCAGGAATTATGCTAAGGAAATCAAAGTATCATTAAAAATCTGTGCCAAATAGTAAATCTTGAATGTTGTAAATGTAATCTTCGAAATTCGACTTAAGTGCTACAGCCTATAGTGTTTTATCACAGTAACGTATATATTACATACACCGTAAACGAATTTAAGTCGTCACTATCCCCTAATGCTTAATATACTTAGTTTAATAGCACCAAATGTCATTTTTATCACCTAATCAATTGCAACGCCTTTTTTTAAAATAATAGGTTAATTTTTGCCGAAAACAAAATATGGAAAATAAAACAAATTAAAGATATTATGCTATAATTTTGGTATGGTGCATGTAAGGTAACATTCATAATACTTATTTACATTATTCATAACTTCAGAGGTAAATTAGTTTCTTAAATCTGAAGGTAAAACAAATACATTAATTAAAATTAAAAAAATATATGCTGGTTTTTGTAAATTTATCGATTCAAACATAAAATGGACTCATAATAAATCTGAATTTGAAGCTAACGCGTATGGAAAGGGACCACTACGGAGTCTAATTCCTTGAAACTGTTATTTGATTTGAGTGCTCCAACTAAAAAAACTTTACTAACAAATAAACACAAATATTATCTATAGGGTATATTGTATGCAGTTGCAATATTTATCATTTAAATTAATGGGTCAATTCGCCAGTGTGTCTTACCCAGCAGATCGAGGGTATATAATTATTAGGAAGTCAAAAGGTTCAATATTATATAATATTTCTGCTATACAAACACACAGTTCTTAAACTTGAATTCGATGGCGAGATTAATTTGCCATTAACGTAATATACGAATACGACGCTTTGATAATCTGAAAAAATCGAAAATTTTAATTTAGTTTTTCCGAAACAATATCACCGAAACAATACCGTCAGGGCTGACTGCGTACTCATTGCATCAAAGGGGCCAATGGTCATTTGCAATGGCTTTTGCGCCCGGACTAACATGGTAAGTATAGCTTTTTTGATCCTCTTATTTTGCTCATACCACGGACTGTCATACAAAGCGTCTGACAATGCCAAACTCTAAAAGATTACAATTCATTTAACGATAAACATACTGCAGCATTGATTGAGAAGTTCAAAAACAGAAACAGTTCCATTCCGGTTCAATAAGGTTAAAACATTATTAATATAACTTAAATACCAACTTTAAGATTCTTTTTTTTACTTTTGTGTTATTACATATACAACGACAGGTTCAAAGTTTATATCAACGTCATGGCTACGAGTCAACATGAAACGTGCTAGAATTCGATTTTACTTATTTGATAAGTTGTGAGATAATAGAGACATACAAGGGATGACTGAAAAGCAAGTTCAATTAAAAATTACTATGTTGATCGTTTGTAATGAATTAGATATAATTGACGTCTCACTTGAACTTTGATTTCGTTCGCTGTCCAACCCAGAACAAAAGTCTCAACGAAAAGTATGCCGAACGAAAGAAACGGAGATGCCAACATGTTTATATCCTGAAACTATAATTTCGTGAATTTAAAATTGTCCACCTTTCCGAAAATATAAATGTTGCTCACCGACATAACCTGAACGGAGACCGCAGCAATGTTCAACGAATTCAAAAAATACTCCATCAAAATCATGTATTTAACGGAATGATTCAGGTTTTGCACAAATCTGAAACATACAAGTATAAATGCAAATATTTTTTGAGACCCTGTAAATTGAAAAAAGGGTCCAAATGGAACATGACATTTCTCTGCATCCGAATTCAGCGCTGATTTGGTCCGAAATTTATTTTTCACATTTAACCGAATGTCATAATCGTTTTGGAGCCCATACCAAAATCACACTCTCTGCTGTCACATTTATAGTTTGTTAAAATCACTTATAGTACACACCGTCATTTTTAATATATAGTTATAGTTTTTTAATATATAGTTTAATACATGTGTTTTTTTTTTATTTTCTAAATCATTTTTTAATGATGTAAAATGTGCCCAGAAACTAATGATCGTAGAAAAAGTATAATAGGCCATATGTTGATACATTGCTTCAGTCACTCGTTTATTGAACACACGCTCCGTTTCTGCCAAATAAATCTCGTCACTAAATTGACATTTTTTAAACTTGTTGCCTAATATATACAGTTACATGACAATCACAATTTAATAAAAAATGTAAGTAATAATATAAGTAAATAATTTTATGGTATTGATTTGCAACTATTTGTTTATTTATTTATTATAACAAGGTACCCTAACGAACTAACATCAAAACATTCATCGTAATTCAAAAGTGTAAACAAAACTATCTTTAAACCCAAAAAAAGAAAAACAAGAGTGAAACACTCTTATTGCTTGATTCCTAAATGAATTAAGTTGCAAAGCAAAAATATATATGTGCAGAAAGGAACTGTTATAATTTCTTTGCAGAAGAGACATTGGTGAGTTGCTTCCTAAATTTGTACTATATTTAGGCGGCTAAAATAAAGCAGGCGTTCTAAGAAGGCTACGATACACCTATTAGATTGTGGTGATGTCTAAAGTTCATGAGAAAAATAAACTTTTTTTGAATGTCGTAAGCATTTTTTCACTTTGTTTTCAATACGTTTTGTGTGTATAGTTACTCCAAGACTCCTGATATGCTTTACTTCTTTAATATTTACTCCATCCCTAATTTATAATCAAAAGAGATTATTTTTTAATTTACTGAATTTAAGACAGTGACATTTGTCAACATTTAAAAACAGTCGGTTTCCTAAGCAGCAGTTTTGAACAGTGTGAACAGTATGAACAAAGAAAACAGAATAGTTCTCAAGTGTGATCCCTGAGGTATGCCAGATGTGATATCAATAGATTTAGATTTAGTTCATCAGACTGAGTCCTAAAACTAATATATGATTGAAGAGCTTTGTAAAAAGAACCGTGCACACCGAAGTTTCAAGTTTCACTAACATTGCCTAGAGCAATCAGTGTACACAGTATCCATTTGTATTCAATTATCTAACGCCTCAGACACATCCTGAACGTACAATGAGGGATTTGTAGCGACGGACCTAGCCCTAGAAATATCATGTTTCGTTTCACCAAGAACGTACCTAAGTTTAAAAAATAACTCTTCTGCTATAATTGCTTCAAACATTTTGCTTGGAATAGAAAGAATTGATATGGGTCGGTATTTTGTGTTATCAATCTTACTGCCACTCTCATGAACATTTCCAAATGGTCGGCAACTGCCATCCTGATAAACTTGATATGTATTACTTTATGTAGTGCTTTCCACAGAAAGTAATTGATTTCGATCTGTTACCAAGTTCTAATAGATATAATAGAACGCGTGTGCAAATATCCGTGTAATACAAACCTAATCACTAGTTGATGTTCTAAAACGAGACGCTTCAACCCGTAGCTACTCAGTTTCCTCAATCGGATCTGGGTCCGTCTAAGTAATGACGACCCAAATATAATACACGATGAAAAAATTATTTTCGTGGACATCAGGAGACAAACTCCGACGAAATCGGCGAGTGCATTAACCATTAACAATAATCCTTCATGATTCTCCTTATCCAGTTTGTAGTAGTATAGTTCATAGACAAAAGGTTTCTCGAGGCTAGCGTTACATTCGCGGTTATGTTTGCTGATCTCGTGCCTTATCCAGAAATTCTCGAGGAGTATAGCCACTCCAGCACCAGTGGTAACGGCAAACAAGACCACATTACACGTTCGACAAAAACGCAGTTGCTTGGTATGGCTAAGCAAAATATCTTCGTCACTACAGTGCATAATTTTTTTTTCTTCTAACATAGCGTACGAGATGATTTGGATTAATCTGGGTTGCTGACATAGAATAGCGCCGACTTGCACCATCACCAAGCAGGTGATGTAACCCAGTTGCTTGAAAATTGTTTCTTGATCTTTATGAGCGTTTTCATAAGTCACCATTAGTATAAACTGAGCGAACATTGAAAATAGAATTAATGGAAAGAAGAACCGAACGAATTTTGAGTAAATTCTGTATGCTGTTGTCAACACGACGTTATGCCATGGTAGTTCTAAACGCCATATGCCGCCTAAAATCATACAATACTTGGAGAAACTTAGAACTGATTCGCGTGATTTTTGGTCGGTCATATTTCTTTGCCTTAAACAAACTGGAAGCTTTAACGGACTTCCCTTTTAACGTCAACATACACCGGCATCCACCTTTTTTATCGGCGGCTACTTTAAAGACGCATTTGATGAATAATTTAAATCGCATGCGGAAAATCCTACGACCATTCCCCTTTATTATAGGTTGTATAATATTTTTATGTTCTAGGTCTGTAATCAGTCCATGCTGAAATCCAGTGTTTTGGATGCGATATTTCAAAGCCATATAAAAAATTCGATACCCTGTGGGCAATAATTATATATATGTTGAGATACAAAGATTTTTAATAGAAAGTTTTGATAAGTAGCAACAAGATAAAAAAAAGTATTGGACTAAAAAAATAATTTCTGTATATCTGTGTCACATCAAACATGGTGATGGCGCATTAGTGGGGATGCCAATTCTTTAAATAAGTATACTAGAAGTATAGAATATTTATAAATATTAAATGGGAGGCGTAAAATTGTATTGATAATTTTGGACCACTGTTGTTTCTCCATTCGTGATAGCCGTATTGAAAAAAGTCGTTTTTCGCGCGTGATCTTCAATTTTTCTGGCGCATGGATTATAGTGCTGATTACTTAATTGTACAATTAAATATAATTTAGCATTTCTGCGGCAGCAGATCTGGCTTTAATGGAAGTAAATTTAGTACCTTATTCGTTTATTAAACTTCTTTGGACGACATCAATGCAGATAAAGTGTACGCCTGTCCCGTAGTTTAAACAAATTTTCCTAAAATCCTATCTAAAATACCAGCTTACTAAGGGATTGTCAAAAATTATGATTTCTTAAACATTTTAGTGAAGATCAATAAAAAAACATATTTCTAAAAAACGCTGCAATTTTGATGCATATATGGACACCGCGAGACCCCTAGGAAGGATACCAGATAATTTAACTTTTCACACTAATAATTATGATGCCTTGATAAATCTTTATAAATATATAAAAATTATCTAACTTACTGCTATTTTTATAAAATGCTGACATGTTTAAAGGCGAAGAGATAAACAAATTTTAAACGAAGAAACTAATAATAAAAAAATACCGCCCACTTCAAAAAGTACGACATTAGAGGGGACAGCGAAAAAATTTCCCGCCCTGAATATGAAGGACACAAAGTAGAGTAACAATTTTGTATTATTTTTCCATATAATCCCCCTTAACTTCAATACACTTATTACATTTCTTTATTAACAACTCAATCTTTTTAAAAAAATATTCTTTTCGTTTGTCTGCAAAATGAGCTAAAACAGCCTCTTTTAACTCAACTTCGTCGTTAAACCGCCGCCCACGTAAGTCCTTTTTCAAATATCCAAACAAATAATAGTCGCTGGGGGCCATATCTGGACTATAAGGAGGATGATCTATCTGTTGGAACCCACACTCCAAAATGGTAGTTTGTGCAACACCAGCAGTATGGACAGGTGCATTATCCTGCAAAAGACGCACGCCTCTGGTCAGTTTTCCTCGACGTTTTACACGTATGCAGTCTCGCAATTTATGTAATAAAGTTGCGTAATATTTCCCATTGGTATTAGTTTCTTCAAAATCTATCAAAAGAATTCCTTCACAATCCCAAAAGATCGTGGCCATCACTTTTTTTGTTGACTGGCAGACTCTGAATTTTCTTGGAGGTGCTTCACCCTTACGACGCCACTCCATTCATTCTTTTTTCGATAGGTCATATTAGAGAACCATAGTTTCATCTCCCGTCACAATAGTTTCTATCGCAGGCTTCGGTTCCGACCCACAGAGTTCCAAAAAAGACCACGCACACTCGACACGGCGTTGTTTTTGAATAGACGAAAGGTTTTTAGGAACCCATCTTGCACTAACCTTATGCATACCTAAATGATCATGCAGGATTCGACGAACACTTATATCAGAAAGCTGAGTAATTTCTGAGATTTCCTTGACCTTTAAACGTCGATCACTCAATACTACCCCTTCCACAATCGCAACAATATCTTCCGTTATGACCCCCACTGATCGACCAGTTCTTGAATCATCTTCAAGGGACTCCATTCGAAAACGTTTTGCCCATTCGTTCACTACAGAATACGAAGGAGAACTTTGGTCGTAAACACCATCCAGCCTTTATTTAATAATTCTAGGTGCTAAAACTTCTTTTGTCAAAAACTTTATGACTGCTCTATACTCAATTTGCGTTAATTGCGACATTTTTTCGGACATGTCTTGTTTAAAATGATGTCAATAAAAAACTATTTGGCGCTAGACCTCAATTTTTTTTCCCAGCCTACTAAGATATGTATTTAAAAGAAGACAAAGTTTTATCGTGATACTGGAGCTGCATCTATGTCAAGCCGGGAAATTTTGGCGCTAACCTCGAATATAATACTAAATAAAAAACACAGATTTGGGAAAATTAAAAAAATTACAACGAAAAATCCATAAATGACAACGCTCGAAACACAGATTAGAATCAAATTCAGTTACTTACCTGGAGTATGACCAAAAGATCTGTGAAACATGGCTGCCCTGTGTTTTGGGAATGTGTCGCTGATCTCTCATCAGTATCAAACCTCCAACTATCGCGTTAAACAAATATAAAGGCTGTTGTGAAATTACCAGCTATTTTTTAATTTTAATTTAATTTAACTAAAGCGGAACGTTGTAGTGAACCAAATAAGTGTATGTTGAGCCTTCAACTTCACTAGAGTAGGATTTTTTTTTAAAACGAATACAAGGTCTTGAGTTTAATATAACCCTTTTCAAGATAATAATTATAGGAATAGTAAATAGAATCATACAACGAGACCGAGAAGGAATCTTGCACGCCGCAAAAATTACCGGTAAATTTAAGTCATATATTGTTACGAGCGTCTTAGGCTTAGCATAAGATAAGTGATAGTCCCTTTGTCTAAAGCATCTTATTTAATTACTACCAGGAGCCTTCCAATGCCCACCCCTTTCTCGGAATTAGCAAGCCAATAAGTTTTACAAGTGAGAACGTTCTAAGCGTTTTGCTGGCAAAATTTTATTCCCATTAGTTACATTTACGACACCTTCATCGAACAGTAATAGAGGCTATAAAATGTAAAATAAATTTTATTATTAATTTCAGTTTTGGCTTGGTTTGGTTAGTTAGGTTATTATACATCGTTTTGTGGTTTGTAGTATACTCATTTGTAGTTATTCATCATTACACCCACGTAGGAGTAGGATGCTTTCAATATCTGTAACATACCAAAATATGAAATATTTCGAAATAGCAATTTCAAGCGTATTTTATTGAAAAAAAAATTATTTTAAATGTCATCAGCAATCCTACTTAATAATTATTCTCCTTTTACACTAATGCGTTCTGCAAAACAAAGCAAATTTAATCTATGGTACAGCAGAAGTATGCCCAACCTACCTCAAACGATAATTTTTGAAAGTTGTGTGATATATTAAAATAAACTTCGAATAAGTGTGACTTTTATAAGGGTTACTTACCGCTAAGGCTGACTGGATTGTCATTGCATCCAATGGTCCTATAGTCAATACAAGAGGCTTTTGTGCTCGTAATATCATTATCAGCAGTGTGCTTTTAATTTTCTCACTTTGATCGTACCAGGGACAGCAATACAAAATGTCCGCAAGCACCAGACTCTGAAGACAAATCCGAATTCTAGTTTATTGATGAGGAAAAATTATTTTTACGCAAAGTTGTTAGGAAATAGTCGATTCACCTGACATTTTATTTCATTAGCAGTCCAACCAAGCACAAAGGTTTGAGTAAAAAGTACACAGAAGAATAATATGGGCGATGCCAGCATATTTTTTTCGAACTAAAAGCAATCAACTAGACTACTTTATTATAGACAGTTTTCTTTACCGTTATAAACTGAATTGAAACCGTGGCTATATTAAGTGAGTTTAGGAGAAATTCCAACAATACTAAATACTTTATCCATTTGTTCAGTTTTGCAACAAATCTAAAAGAAAATTTTAATAAATATTTTTATCAGCAGACCAGCAATATTTTACTTCGAGCAGTTAAGAATGAAACTCTTTAAAAATTGATATAAATTGACATTAGTTTTTTGTTTTATATATACTGAACATTCTCACGCCACTAAGAATGTGCACAAGATAATAATAATATTAATAATAATAATAATAAATGACGTAAATTTAGAAAAAAGTGCGCTGAGTGATAAATAGACGAAATTAGACACCTTTTGATAATTTTCGCACTTCTGAAGTGGTTTGTATCAAAAATTGATCTAGGTAAAAATAGTCGAACTTAATTACTTAGCAAACGACCGAAATTAAAAGTTATTAAGCTTATATCACCAGCAGATGATATAACCGGAGCAAATAGTCCAACATCTTCAGTTGAACATTTGAAAAAATTTTTTTTATGACGGTGGAACTAAAATGGCCGGCGTGCAATTTGGAACATTGTAATTGGCTGGTATGAGTACTCACTCAATGACGTTTTGATGCTGCTGAACAAGATCTCTTAAAACTTGCGACACGCTCTTTCCGCATAAATCCAGTTTGACAAATTTTATCTGCAGCCTTTTTAAAATCGACGTTGAATATATAATGCAAGAAAAAAAAAGCATTTTTGTCGAAGCAAACAAAAGGCAATTCAATACCACGAATATATTGTTGGCAACAAGAACACTGGTAGCATGTTTTTCCGGATCTAAATTATAGTAATACAACACATAAGGAAAGGGTTTTTCCACGCTCTCGTTGTAGTGCTTGTTATAATGGTCGATTTCCAATCTTCTATAAAAATTTTCGAGGCACATTGATACTCCACTCCAAAATGTCAAAATCATTATTAGTAAACACGATCTTGAGGATACTCGAGCCTGCTTCAAATGACATAACACAATGTCCTTATCTTTAGAGCACACCACCTCCTTATCATCCTGCGTTATATAATTTAAAATTTCTTTAACGTTTTTGTCTTGGTAAATTACAGCAGCTACACCGACAATCAGTAAACCGATGATGTAGTTAAGTTGTGAAAATATGTTTTCTGGATTTTCATCCGTATTCTCGTCGATCGTCGACAGGATAAATTGAACGGAGAGCGAAAGCAGAAACGAAGGAAAATATACTTTTATCAATCCGGAATATATTGAATACATTCTTTGGAGAAGTCGATTTTGCGTGGCCAGCCGTAAGGGCCATATTCCGGCCATTATTAAAGAGTATCGGGTGTAGTTCAAAATTGGTTTAGCTTTTAATTCTTTGATCACTGTTTGCCTATTCATTTTCATTGAAGTCAACGACTTCAATTCCGCATAAATAAATAAAACTTATATTCCGTCTATTGCAGTACCGACTATAAAAAAGTTTCTAATTCAAACACAAACAAATGCCATGAAAATTTACGTTTTATATCGACTCAGATATGCTTATATTTCCACGTTTCCTTAATATATACTTTTACTTCTAGACCGCCCTGTCATTACGAAAATAAAAGGGTTGGCGAATGCGTTGCGTATTTTGCTCACGCCAGTGTTTCTCGGTGCTTTTTAGATACCGGAAAATTTAGTTAGAATATTACCGATCTGGTGAATTGGCTGAATTTTTTGTTGATGTGGACTTATTTAGAAATAGTGTTGATTAGTCTGACAAATTCTCGTCAGATCGAGGAAACAAACAAAATCAGCAAGACAAAATTGTTATGGTAAAACTTTTGATTTGATGATTTATACCATAAAAATAAATAAAGGGATATCATGTTTCGTTTATCGTGTTTCGTGTACTCTTTACAGGGTTAATGAAGGTCTGCAGTAGGTTAGGCTTTTTTTCAAAATTTTGTAATTTGCAACTATTGTCTTCGTGGAAGTTTCCGTAGGAAAAAAGCCAGCCAGTCAGATTCAATTACGTGTCTTCAACAATTATTAGATAGTTTTGTTTTATTTTGTGCGGATTACTTAAAAGCTTCAAATTCCCAACTTAAATTTTCGCTAGAACATTTAAAAGAAATAACAAATCTGGCTAGAGTTTTTAAACAACTAATTAGTAAATAAATGCTTTATTCCCAATAGCGATACAGTAAAAACGTCATATCGTCGTAGTGTAATCAAACATCATAAAAAAACATGAAATATTTGCAGCTCCTCATAAACATTGTACGGCACTAATATTTGTATCAGGTTGTATTTTTGCCAAAATGCGATAGGATATTTGAAAATAGATTCCATATCGGTGAAATATATGATTTGATTCCTGATTCTTATATTGGCAACCACTTTAACGCAGTAATACACATTTCAGAATAGTTAGGTTTGTCCAAACAAGGGCGAAATCTTTAATTACCTCATTTTGTCCCATTTTGCTATATGAAAAATTATTGTAGTACTAATATTAATAATTCTCATTGTATTCCTGATATGGTTTGTTCATAGATATAACAAAGTGACGAATTGCTTTTAAATGGGATTATCCAAGGGCGGTCATTAACATACAATGCAACAAGATTATTACCTAAAGTTTTGGAATTTAAATTTAAATTTAAATTTTAACTACTTTTAAGATCTTAATTGCAATCTATGTATAAACATTCGCATATTTACATTAAATTAAACATGAACAATGTAAATGGTGCAATTCGGGGTCAAATACTTGTTTGAAATTTCAGTTTTTTATCGAAGAATGTGAAACAATAATTGTATGTTGTATTATACGTTTTCTTGAATAAGTCTATAATTTTCAATTTACGGTAGAAAATGTTATTCTGCATGTAGTAATGAATTTCTTTGTACTCCTTTTTTTTACTTCAATTGGGCTTACTTGTATCAATCACCATTTTCTATTTCATTTTGTGAACCACTATGAACTTTAGCATTTATTCTTAATTGTCCTCTATTAATTTTGTTGTAAATCGCAAGTTTAACGCCATGTTGATAAATCATTAATTGTAGTTATTCAACATGATGCTGACGTATGAGTAGGATCCCTTCATTATCTGCAACATACAAAAAATATAAACGATTTTGTACTGCTGCTTTAAGAAATAAATAGATTACTTACCGTCAAAGCCGATTGGGTTGTCATGGCATCCAATGGTCCTATAGTCAAAACAAGGGGTCTTTGGGCTTGTACTAGCATGGTCAGTAGTACGCTTTTAGCTGCCAGACTTTGGTCGCACCAGGGACTGCAATACAGGGCGTCCGCTAGCATCAAACTCTGAACATAAAACATAAAAATTGTAACTGAAACGAAATTTGAAACGACCGGATTACCTGACATTTAATTTCATTGGCGCTCCATCCAAGAATAAAAGTTTGTGTACACAGTACGCAGAAGAATAATATGGGCGATATCAGCATGTTTTTTTCTAATTGAAGAAAAGCATTTCGGTAACATTAACCAGGTGAGGCAACAGTTTGCAGCTTTGTTTCTATACTTACCGTTATTAATAAAATTGAAACAGTGGCTATATTTAGTGAGTTTAGAAGAAATTCCCAAAAAATCAAATACTTTATCCAATTGTTCAATTTTCCAACAAATCTACAAAGTAAGAAAAAAAACATTTAATGGTAGTATTCTAACGCAATAAGGAACAAATAATTTGGATTTTAAATACTTATAAATAAATATACATAACTAAACTTCCACCTAAACTTTCGGTAAATTATAACCGCTTCCATCGGAATGATTTTTTTCTCTAATATCAATAAAAACACGGATGGATGGAAGGCAGAATTCCAGTCTTCATTTTCAAACCATTCAATTTAACCATTAATTTAAGAATAATTCGAAATTTTACAGAATTATTTCAACCACCCCACATTATAACTAGTATCCAATTAAATAGCTTTGAATTAATTTCATTAAACGATTTGAGATTATACAGCGTCCGCCAATATATTGTGGTTACCTAGAATTAAATAGATTGTGATGATTTTTTCGAATTGCTTTAGTAAATTTGGTTGATAGTGATTAATAGTTTAGTTGTTTCGCTAATTCTAGTCGGTTTTATTAACTTTTGTTATTCCAATACTTACCTAACATTGAATCTTAAATTTCAAGAACGCTAGTATTAAAAAATATTATAAAGTGCAAGAAATATTAGAAAGAAAAGAAATCGAAAACTGACACCTGTGTTAGAAAATAGTCAGCAAACTTGTAGCTGTCATTTTTTATTGTAAATGCAATTTTTTTAACTTTACTGATTTTTTTATAGTTCTAAGGAGTTTGCGCTATTCGGCAGACTACTACTTAAAATGTCGCATCAAATTTCTATTGTTAAATGGTATTAATAATGTAGACAATATAGGTACTTACTGAATAGTATTTTGGTGTTGTTGAACAAGACCTCTTAGAACAACCAAAACGCTGCCTCCGCGTACATTCAATTTTTGGAACTTAATTTGCAGAATAAGTCGTTAGCAACCAGAAGTCTAGTACCGTATTTACAGGCGTCCAACTTATAATAATACAACTCAAAGGAGAGGGGTTTTTGCACGGTTCCGTTCTGGTATTTATTATATTGTCCGATTTCATATCTTCTCCAAATATTCTCCAAACATATCGACATCCCACTCCCAAATGTCAGAATCACTATTAGCAAACATGATCTCGAGCAAACCCGAGACTGTGCTAAATGACATTGAATAATATCCTCATCCTTAGAGGACACGACATCCTTATTATCCTGCATCATGTAAGTTATTATTTCTTCAATTTCTTTGCGTTGGCAGAGCATTATAGCAAAACAGGTAATTAGCAAAATGATGATGTAATTCAATTGTGAAAATATTTTCTCGAGATTTTTTTCCGTACTCTCATAGAACGTCGACAAGATAAATTCAATAGAGAGCGAAATCAGGAACGACGGCAAATACAACTTCACAATGCCGGAATATATTGTGTACACTTTCTGAATTATTCGGTTTTCCGTGGACAGTTGAGGCCATATTCCTGATAAAATCAAACAGTACCTGGAATATTCCAAAATTGGTTTAGTTTTTAATATTTGTATCGCTGATTGTGTTTTCATTTTTAAATATCTCAAATGATTTCTCAATGCCGAGTTACCCCAACTGCGGAGACAACAGACAGCAAAAATAAAGGAAGGTAGTGTCTTTTATATCGAGACAGAGATATTCTTTAAAGTATACTTTTATTCCCACGCCGCCCTATTATTACGTAAATTAAAGGGCTGACCCTTTCGCTGCATATTTTAGTCACGCTTGCCATTATTTAATATATTTTCGCGTTTAAAATTTTATTAGCAGTTTTCCAGATCTTTGAATACTTTTTTTGAATATACTCGCAAATAATTTTGGTTAGTTAATATTTCAACAAATGTACAAAGGAATTAATAAAATCAAGAGAAAAAATAACTGCAAAATAAATTTTACATGTTTGCAAACTTGTATGTAAGTAATTTGAATTTATTAGGCGGGGTAAGTAAAATGACATAATGTTAAAAGTATTTTGCTAAATAAGGAAAGTCCAGTCCAGGAGACAAAAAATGTCGCTAGAATGTCATTTTTATTTTTATATTTTTTTAAGGAAATCGTTCTTGAATTGATAATTTGGCAATAAATCAACGATCCTTTCGCTGCATTGTTGACATTTAATGGTACTATTATCGTGATAAGATATTGATTCATTACCATCTAGAACATAATTGTGAATTATAGTGCGATGAAATTAATATATTATGCAAGAAATTTGATATACTCCACTTCAGCCAGGAAATTTTCTTTGGTAGGAGCGGAGAGGGTATTTGGTAAACCGGTGATCGAAAAAGTTTATTCGCGATTTCAATACTACAGTTTTCCTACGAACATTAATTTTTAGGTTCATGTTTGCAAAATAAAACGAATAAATGGATCGAGTGACATTTGACGTAACCACCAGAATAAACAAACATAAAAACACCAACCCTGGCTAAAGTGTATCGAAAAGATCAGATCGCTTCCAAACCCGTGGCTCAAGTACTGGAAACGTATGAACTTGTCCGCGTTAATGACAAACAAACCTGACGTCTAAAGAAATAAAAGTTATTTTTTCAGTCAAGATACGAAAAATTGTCAAGAAACAGAAGAAAACAAAGCAACAAGCATAAAATATAAAAATGATAGTGGTGGATATTCCTTTGTGAAAAATAACGGCTAAATTTCCTCACTGGAAAAAATATTCCGAATAATATTAACGGACATTTTATGCAGTTTTCTGTATCATATACATCCGTTGATAAAAACTTGATTTTATTTTAATAGCAAAATTTAAAGAATAATTTAACTTCATTGTTTAGTTTTTTATGTAGTGGCTGAAGAAACATTTATTTGAAGCCGGAACGTTAGCTACAGGGGCGGATCAAATAAATCTAGATACGATAATTTTAAGCTGTCATAATACTCCCTTTTATTACTAATATCATTAATTCAGTTTTGCTCGGTAAGGAATTTCTAATTTGAGGAAACTCAGACCTATTAGCATATCACAAGTCCTTTTAAAAGTTGCAGAAAAAATTGCCATTTTATTGTCAAATTAGGGAACATTTAAAAAACTTCAAGATACTTCCAGAGCACCAGTTACCAGGCCAGCTTACAGTTGTACAACCATAACCGATGTTATATTTCAAGCTTCTGATATTGGTAAGGCAACTATGCCAACTTGTTCTGTTGGATTATTCTAAAGCTTTTGACAAGTTAAATTAGGAGTTACTTTTAGCTATTCTTTACTTTGTTGGCTTCTCGGGGAGCGCGATTGGACTTATTTGGGCTCAATTTTGGGGTCGCTTCTTTTTGCGATTTACACTTGTAATTTCAGTAGTGGTTTACGTTATAGTATTTACATATCAATATGCCCTTTCCACCTAATGAAGCAACAGATGCCCAAGACAAGTTGAATGAAGATTGAAAACACTTAGTGTATTTTCCGAAAGCCAAGGTTTATTTCCAAGTCGTCAATTACTTTCGAAAAGAACAAAAAACTGCTTTATCTTTTGTGACGTAGTTTACGGACCATGTTTGGATAAACACAATTCAGAGGGTACAAAAATCTTACCTGCGATGCCAGTATCAGATAAGTTACTTGAAACTAAATGGTTATCGATGGAAAATTAAGGTAGTAAATAAGATTATATCAGAAGGGACATTTGTAATTTGAATTTGAGATTGCGAGGTTATTTTAAAGTTCATTTATTCCATCCCGTGTCGACTGGAAACGGCTTGGATGTTTTCGGTATTTTGACGTTTGTCAGTTTTGATGGTCATGTCGCACTTCACTCGCTCAACGTATTCGTGCTGTTTTGCAAAAATGACCCCAAAAACAAAAGGTCGCAGAGAAGGTATAGTGAGCAACGAATTTCATTAGCTTTTTCAGTCACTCGTTTATTAAACACTCGCTCAGCACTTGTCAAAACAAACTCCTAACTAAATTTGTGGCATAATATACTATTTTCCCTGTATGAGTTGACGAGTGCTTGCCATGTTTATACTTCTTATATTTCTCTCTGATTACCAGTTTCCGAGTTTTACCAGACTCGCATATTTCGTCAGGGTTCTAGGAAAAATACCGACATAAAGTTTTACAACTGATAATAATACCATAAAAGCGCTCCAGAAATCCATCTGGCGAGAGTGTGGCCGAAAGAGAAAAATGAAACCCGACGTAAAGAAAATGACATGATCTCACATAACAAATACTATCAGATTTTAAAACGAAAACACGAAAAATTGCAGTGAAACCCAGCGCGCTGTGAAAGAGGCGATTACAAAACGGGAATTAAATGGACGTAACCGAGTTTCCGCTGCCATTTTATTGTCTGCGGGGAGAAGCTCTAAAGGCGTATGCCCCGCGTCATCAACATCCGAAGGAAAACGTTGCGCTGTTATTCCGTCAGTCCAGAAATTACTCTTGGTCAAAGCGAGTATAGTTTAAGTATAATAAATATTTAAACAGTTTTAAATATCTCTGAACTCTATCTATCTCAAATTAAGAATAAATCACGAAAAACTCAAAAGTCCAGAGTCTACAAGTTGAAATGTGGTCCCAAAATTTATATCGGATAAACCGGTAGAACATTTAAGAAATGCATTAACGAACATAAAAGGGCGTATAAAAATAAAAGTTCGGATTCTAACTATGGCATTCATTTACATTTAGAAATGCACAAGTTTGACGATAGTTTTAATATTTTACATCATGATTAAAGAAAAGGAAAACTAAATTTGTTCGGAATATTGTCATACTTTGTATTTCTTAAAGGCATGGTGTTGTCATAAATGACTGTCTAAATCTGAACATTTTTTTGTTGTAATTTGATTCTGTTAAATGGATTTTCTATAGCACTAGAAACAGTGGAAGAATGTAGATGCTTTTCTAAAATTCGGATTGGTTGGTAACACTGAAAAAAAACAAAATGAAGCAACAACAGCAATTTTTTTGCAGTTCACACATTACATCGCAACATCAAAATGAACTTTCTAATTATTACCATCAGTTTTTAGTCATTCATCATAATGCTGATGTAGGAGTAGGATCCTTTCATTATCTACAACACACAAAAAATATCTATTTTGTACTTCTTTGTTCAGGTGCCTATTATTAGTTAGTTTTTGTTAGTTCTCTTTATACCGAGTGTTACAAATTTTTGTGAAGAAGATTTATTTGCAGATTCTACACCTAAACCTGTGAAAAAAATCCTGTAAACCTAGATCCAGAAATGCTTCGTCTCAATGATACGAAAACCAGCTAAGATATCGAGATAAATTTTACGCAAATGTTTCGCTAAAGTTCCCATTTAATTACACACACACATTTTAACAAAATTGTTTTCGAAAACACTTATATCAGTGGTTCCTATGGAGCTGGTTTTTTAAAAAAGTATGTCGCTTCCTGAAAGTCATAGTAATTTTAGTGAAAAAGTGTCTCTCAAACTTCGCTCTGAATCACTTATCGAAATAAAAGTTATTTTCTTAATCAGTACATAAGGTATTTTAATCCAGTTCCAAAACTAGTCCAGCAGTCAATTAAAGTCACATTCCCAGATTAGTAGAAAGCGGTATGCGATTGAGAGACACTTTGCAAGCACAATTAAACTGGCTCTAAGACAGTGACACAAATTTCTGCCGAAAACAAATGGCGTAGGGCTTTTTTCGCTAGACATATGAACTTGCCTTCAGGAAAGCCACTGACATGAGGGTTTTACAAAGCCATGGTATATATGTGACAGCTTAACCTTTAAGAAAACATTGGTGCATACCAAAACTTCGATCCTCTTCGGTAAATTAAAAATTAATTACAGAAGCTCTCCTGGACCCATATTTATAAATGCGCTTTTTAGGTATATAATTTGCCCCTAAGTTTTCTTCGCAACATTGTAAATTAAGTATGTTTTAATTCGTAGGCCACTGAGTTTTGAAGAGGTTGCTCACCGTTAAAGCCGATTGGATTGTCATGGCATCAAATGGTCCAATAGTAAGTACAAGTGGTCTTTGAGTTTGTACGAGCATGACCAGCAGTATATTTTTAACTTCCTCACTTTGGTGGTACCATTTTCCACGAAGCAAAGCGTCAGCCAACATCAAACTCTAGACTCAAATAATGAACTGAAAGTCATTTTAACATTTAACATAGACGAATCCGGATTACCTGGTATTTTACTTCGTTGGTGCACCATCCAAGAATAAAGGTTTGCGAGCAAAGAACACAAAAAAATAATATGGGCGATATAAGCAGTTTCCCTTCGGACTGAAAAAAGTAACGTTAGGCAGCATTTTATAAATGCGTTTGTCCTTACCGTTATTAATTGCATTGAAACCGCGGCTATATTTATTGAGTCTAGTAGAAATTCCCAAAAAATTAAATACTTTAGCCAGTTATTTAACTTTTCAACAAATCTGAAAACGAAAATTTGAGAAAACAATTTTTAATATTACAAATTTCAACAGGATGTTGGTAGAACGCATTGTTCATTTATACTGTAGTTTTTGCGTCAGTCATAAATTAAAAATATGAACTTCCGCAATAGGATTTTTGGGTAACGAATTCATAGGTATGGTCTGTTCATAGATATAAGAAAGTGACCAATTGCTTTTGAATGATTATCCAAGGGTGGTCATTAACATACAATGCCACAAGATTATTACCCAAAGTTTCAGAATTTAAAATCAAGTAAAATTGTGGTCCCTAATAGGAAATAATTTTATACCTACCTGCGTTTAATATTTTTTGGTTTGGTATACTACTAGTTTAAGTTTTATTAGTAATCATTCTTGTTTCGTGTGTAATACAGCGTGTGTTGAATCATGTGCGAATTATGCAAAATATGTGCGAGTCTAGTGTATTTCAGAAGATGCTCCCACCCAAATGTAGAAAACACTATTCTATTGAGACTAAGGAAATTATAAACAATGTTTATTTGACTCTCATTGAACGTGGTGCCAGCAAGCAAGCAACTCTAGAAGAAACGGCCACATTGACGTAAATTCAATCAACTGTATGGAAAATTGTGAATAATCCCATTTCAGCGAGGAAAAAAAGAAGCGATGCTGACATTTTCTCGAGTGTAGCTGAAAGTGATCAAGATATAATACGCCATAAAATATAGAACAAATAATAATTAGAACAGGCGATGATAGCGATAGTGATACTGATATATTATGTGAATAATTTTAAGTAATTTAAGTAGGTAATAAAAATAATTTGTAATTTTATTTTAGATTTAAACATAAATAGATACATAAATAAATAAATATTGTTTAGTATCTTTCCTAACAAAACCCAAAATAATTAAATTCAAAGCAAAGTGCGGACCTGTTCGGCCATATTTCATTCTTACAGCTTGCCCGGGTCTTTCCTTAATTCGTATCAGTTAGTCACTTTCTTATATCTTACACTTTACAAGGTCTTTTTTATAGACGTTCAAAAATTCCAATGCATGCGAAAAAATGCACTTAGTCCACTACACAAAGAATACCATTTTGTCAATTCTATTTGGGCAAGAATTAACAATTCACAATTGAAAAGCCAATTTTGCTAATAATCAAAATGTAGACTTAAATAATATTTATTAAAATATGGTAAGAGTCTTATCAAGTGCTATTGGGACATGGTTATATTGTAGAACTGTAAATAAAATACATACCCAATAACGTTCTGATGTTCTTGAACAAGATCTCTTAAAACTATCAAAACTCGTCCTCTATAACCATATAATTTTTCGAATTTAATCTGCAGCCTTTTTAAAATGGAGGCTGAATGTATAATTGAAGAAAAAAGAAGCATTTTCGTCGAAGTACATAAAAGAGAGTTTATTGCGGTACATACATCGTTGACCACCACAAGAGCAGTATCGTGTTTGTTCGCGTCCAAATTAAAATAATACAACTCAAATACAAAGGGCTTTTCCACACTTTCATTGTAGCGTATGTTATTACGATCGATTTCTAATCTTCGCCAGTAGTTTTCAAAACACATCGATATACCACTCCCAAAAGTCAGAATCATGATTGCCAGACATGATCTCGAGCACAGCCGAACCTGTGCCAAATGACATTGTATCATGTCCTCGACCTTAGAGCATATGATTTCATTATCATCTTCCATTATATAGCCTATGATTTCTTTAACCTCTTTGCGTTGACAGAGCATCATTGAAAAACATGTAATTAGTAAAATGATTATGTAGTTCAGTTTAAAAAATATTTTCTCTAAATTCCTTTCCGTTCTCTCATTGACTATTGATATGGCAAATTTAATTAATAACGAAATTAACATAAATGGTAAATAAAATCTCATTAGTCCAGAGTATATTGAATATGCTCTCTGAAGTACTCGGTTTTGCGACTGCAGCGGTAGGGGCCATATTCCTCCCAGAATCAAGCATATCCTGGAATAACCCAAAATAGGTTTAGCTTTTGATACTTTGATCTGTGTTTTCATTATAAAATATCTCGATTGATTACTCGATCGATGACAGCCGTATAAATAAAGTTTCTAATTCAAACTGAAACTAAGGGCTCTGTTGACAAATGCAACTGTAATGTCCCTCTTATATCGCTGCGGAGTATTTATTTTTAAGTAAATGAAAGAGTCGGTGTTTGCGTGGAATATTTTACTCCCCTTCGTGTCTAAGGGAATCGTTTTTTTGTCGGAGTGGCTACTTTGTGGTTTATCCCATAAAATTATATGGATCCATATGCGTATGTGGAAACAACCAGAAATAGAATAAGATAGCTGAGAGCTACACAAAAAATAGAGGCAGAGACCGATGGATTGTGGCAAAAAGTTTAATGTATTCGGAATATGAGGAGGACTTTACTTTACTTTATCGATGAACTGTTTCCAGGTCCTATTTCAATTATGGAAAAATTCTAAAAAAAGGTACTGGTTTATAAATGGTGCACCAGCTGAGATTAATGAACTCCGACTTTTTAAGTATATGCTCGATACCTACCTCGTTCAACAAATACATAAGGTACTTATATATGTAGTTTAATGTACAAGGTGGCACAATTTCTATCGCTTTTTTTTGAGACAAAACCATTGAGTGAATTCCGAAATCCCTAATTGTATTTTACTGTCAAACTATATATAAGGAAACACCTTGTTGTAACTTATCGACAATGGAAATCGAAAACAGTTGAACGTTTTAATATAACTTCAAAATAAAAGCGAGCGAGTTCTGGTTTCCATCATTCTTCTTTTCAAAAACCAGTAAAAATCCTCAAAGTTCATTTTTCCATTTGACCGAAATCTGCTATAGAATCATCCTAGTTTGCCCAAGCACACGCTGGACGTGCATTTATTTCCGTTTCGCCATACCATAAGCCCATTAAGTAACGGTTCCAAAATCTTTGACGATGTGAATAAATACTAAATTTAAATTCGATTTTTATGATTGGTCGCGAATTTACATACGAAAAATGTGTAGGTAGGTAATGGATATGGAAAAAAATATATGTTGACGTTTGTCGTTCGAATGGCCACGTCACACGTCAGTTAGTGAATGTATTCGTGCTGGTTTGCAAAAATATACCCAAGAATTAATTGATATGGCAAAAGTATAGTAAGCAACACGTTTATAAACTTTTACATACACTCGTTTATTAGTAACTAAACTGTTGTTTATAAAACTTGTTACATAATATACTATTTGCGCTTTTTTAGGGTTTACAATTAGTTAAGAGGCAAATGAAAGAAAATATAAGCCACTTGTTTAGATAAATATCAGAAACTATAATTTTTTGCAATTAAAGTATTATAAAAATGAAATACAATTTCAATAAATCTCTTTCCGGAATAGTTACACTGTTCAAGTGTAATCCTCAATTATATCCTGAAATCTTGTAACCAAGTAAGAAATATTTGGTATAAAATGCCTATTGGATCTTTAAGCGACAACTATTAATTACAGTGGTGCCTCGTGTCCAATTTAATTCGTTTTTTTTCTAAATATAACTTCTTGTGTACTATTATTATTGGGGATTAAGAAGTATTAGTATAACAAATTCTTGATTTCCCTTATACCAGTTACCTTGTCCACTACAAGAAAGTTTCATGAGTGAGTTGTATAGTTTATCCTTTTCAAGCTGCTCTTAATGCACAAAAGGTAATTTTTAATACAGAAAATAATGAAACTAAACCTAAATACCAATATCGCTTTGCGGTTGGTCAGAGTCTGCCTGGCGTTATTAGAAGTAACTATCCTATTCCATACTAGGAAAGAAATTTCGTATAAGTCTACTAAAACTAAATAGACTAACGTCTGATTTAAACGAAACACATCTATTTTAAAAAATACCATGTATTTCGTAAATATTTTAAGTTAATCTGTATAATATTCTGAATTTTAAATCTTTTAAAATACATAGAAATATATATAAATTAGGTAAAAAAAAATATAATACAATATATGTAAAAGTAAATATATCACACAGCAATACACATTATGGGCCCTCTGGAGTGTTTTGCAAGCTATATGTACCGCACAAAAAGAATGGTAATTTAAAATAGTATAGGCATTAATGCGCAAATTCCTTTGAACATACTTTTTCGCCTTGGTGAATTTTTTTGTTAATTTTGAGCGCAGTGTAAAAATAATAAACATTTTCCTGTCAAACCAACCATGGCAAATTCTCATTCTTTTCGGGTTCACACAATTGGCACCGTAAAATTATTTCTACAAATTATATTTACAAAATGTTAAACGCAAAAAATAAATTATGTATACAGGATTTCCGGCGATAACGTCGAAATATTTTGAAATGTGATTTTAGGGAGAAATCAATAAATATAATTTTTCGCAATGATTTTGGAACCATAAAATTTTGAAATTCGGTATGCAGAAACAAATTACAACACGAATTCTAAGTACAGACTTTCTGTATACAGGGACGTTTGCTGCTCGTGCTCTTTAATATCAAATAGCAACGTTTCAAGGAATATTTCTTTGGATCAAACCCTAACAAACACTGCAAAGAATAATTTTTTCTTTGCCATAACGCAAAAAGTTAAACTTTTGGTACTGTAAAGACAACAGAAATTATTAACTTTATGTTTAGTTTGGGTTGGTTCTCTTTCAAAATTTTAGATATTGCAGTGAAAAAAATTACCGCAATTTTTATCCTAGATAGCAACAACAAAAATAATGATATAGCATTTCAACCTATTTATTTAAGCACACCGAATTCCAAAACAAAATGCTGCACCGTTGCCAACGTTATTGAGAAAAACATCTTCAAGGTTTCAATTTAGTAAGCATTCTTTCGGACATCACCCCGAAAATGTTTCCGTTATTTTCGGTAACCCTGTATAAAAACTAATGTAAGTTTTTGGTTTCGCTTTGCGAAATTAATCTTATAAAAAATCAGTTTTTGCGAAGTTTTGCAAAATGCAAATTAGATGTTTCATTTTCAACTCTTAGTGTGCTAATAATAAGCACGCGTCATTATGTGTCGTTTTGTCTTTAAAATTTTCATATATTGTTGTTAGGGTTAAGATAAACAAAAGTTTTATTTATTTACCCGGTCTTTTATATTTTTAAATTTTATATCTTTTTGGCACGTTTATAAAATTAATTTCAAATTAAAGTATTGACACACCAATGTACTCTTTTAGTAAAAAATGGTTTTCTATTCTCAAGAAACAGTGATATCCATCTGATAATTCTTAAATGTTGATCTGCGTATACCAAATTCCACGGTACATTTACTGGATAAAGATGGAGAAATCTTACCCATAAATTTTTCCTATATAATTCTGTTAATTTAATATATTCTAGGTGATATTTTGACTTTTATAGAAAAAACAATAATCAGTGTGGAATAGAGGATTACTCTTCTACAGGTAATGGTTGTAAATAGCATAACCTAGAAGAGAACGAATTAACAGAGTTTAAGAGAGATGAAGAATATATGTTTTATCCAGAAACTGATGACGTTACTGTACTTGTTGTATAATAACTGGGAGCTTCAAATTTCGCAGCGCATAAAAATTATTTCTTATATTTTACATTTCTTTGTAAATCCCTTCTTTAGCATGTCTCTAAAGAAATAGATCGACTATCATTAGGGTCTCTGAACACTTGACGGAAACACCACGCTAAAATCCCCATTTTCTTTCCATTAATTGGGATTTTCATGTAATAATCGTGCCTCATTTAGTGACGACCTTAATTAGTTTGAGGCTGCGATCGGCAGAAAATATTTTTAAAAATCCATAAAACAAAGCCAACAAGAAATATAAATATTGTTTCCAACGCTGAAAACCGATTTTGTGTGTGTGTTTTACGTTTTATAGTTAAATTATAACAAACATCGATTTAAATGGTGTTTCAATTATTTTGTCTTTTTGAAAAAGCAACAGTTTCCATTAACTCAAATCGTCTCATAAATTTCAAAAAGCTTTGGTTCTTAGATATGCTCTAATAAATCATTACTGAGAAGAAAAAATCAGAAGAACGCTCGGAGAACTACTTAGATTTTTATAAAATTTACTTAAAAAAAAATGTTTTAACTTTAATCATCTGTATCTACTTCTCTATTAGATTAAGAGCCCTTATATCCAAGGAATTATTATAAGGAGAATCGATTTATTTATTCTAATACCCATTTAAATAATACAATTATGATGCGCTTCGAAGTTTTACAATCCTACGGAGGAATAATCTTCCACTCCACTCCTGATGGGGCCTGTATACCTAAGTCAATAAGGAAAACTCCAATCCAAAATTCCCCAAAAAAGTTATGGTAACACTTTTAGATGTGTAAAACTCATTAGCGCAGATAAACTGTTTTTTACCGTTATAACATCAAGATACCTTAGAGAGGATAACGAATCTCGGAGTGTTTCGATAAATTAATACAGCTATCTTATTTTACATGCCAATCATAGTAAGCTAACGTCGTGTTGAACCCTTTTCAATAATCCATAATGTATAATAATTTTATAGGTGTTTCATTTATTACATTAAAATAATTGCAATGTCGTCAATACTATTCACAATATGCATAATATATAAAGTATTTCGTAGGTAATCTAACTATTAATGATATTAAAATTAAAATTTTAATTAGTTTTTAGGATTTTGTATTTTTTTTAGCAAAATTATTCTTTAATTGATACCTGCTAGCCGTTATACGCAAGGCCTACCAATATATATCCGAAAAAGTTCCGCCGTTTTTCATGACAGATACGAACAACCATACATGATTGGAAAGGGCTCAGCACGAACATTTTTGTTAAATCCTGCCACCTATGATAATGTTATGTAAAATAAGACTTATCGAAAAAATCTAAGTACGTCACTGAGTTTTCCACTGGTGTATCCTCAACTTTCTAAATGGCCGAAAAAAAAAGCCATAAAAATCGAGGCAATGACATGTCTATCGGTTTTGCACTATTTAGTTCAGAAATGGGTTTTTCTGTTAAAACATTCAAATTTACTTGGGTCCTATACATCATGTTTGTGAAAGCACAGATATGTTTCAGCAGGAATGCATAATGTTAGTCATCTGGAATAGTCAGTTACAATTAAAATTTTTTTCTCCAGAAAACAAGGTGTCCAATTCACCACGTCTGAAAAATGTATCAAAACTCCGAGCTTTCTGAGATTATGATATCAGGCTTGTTTGGTACTTTCCGAAAATATGGAACACCAGCATCGAAAATTGGACATCCTGTATAGCAATATTTAAACGTATACGTATCGACAGTAACGTTACATCTATCGCAAGAAGTCGATTTCCATAGTCCACCTAAAGCATTGGTGCAAAGCAAAGAGAAACTTTCATTTTCTCTTCAGGTCCCGTTTGCCAAAGAGTGCTCCTTTTTGATATCCTCTATCGTGCAGATTGACATTTTCTTCTCTCCGTCCAGAGGAAATTTGAAACTCAACTCGCCGTCATTAAACAAAGGGCTGTGATTCTCGTACATGTTTTCTCCGTCTATCGCGAACTTTTCTTCGTGTGTGTAATATTTGGCCGCGTGCCTTTTCGAATACAACACCACCCCGATTATTGTCAACAACGTTAATAGCAACAAAGTCACCAACATCCCGGCAGCTATCAAACCGATTTTCTTGTCGCCCCCCACCAAAAAGAAGTCGGCATCGCTTAGGGAATTGCCGGCGGTGCACCAGGTTAGTTCCTCCTTTTGTATGGACCCCAATTTCTTTCCCCTTGTAGTGTAAGGGCTGACGCAGACGATTTCACTGAACGTAGCGCTTCTATTGGTTCGTTCCAACAGAGGCACTATGTAACACAAATCGCAGGACCAAGGATTGTGCTGCAGTTTCAGATTCGGAATTCTTTCCAACTTCCGCAGATCGTCCTCTTCAATACCTTTGAGGCCGTTTCTGGATACGTCTAATAGTTTCAAACTAGAAGGTAGAAACTGGCTTCGGATTGTGGACAGGTGGTTCCCGCTCAAATCTAACAGCTCGAGATTTGTAGGGAACACCCTCTCGTTTATCTCAACTAAATCGCAGTTCGCCAGTCTCAGTTCTCTTAGGATGTCCATACTACTCAGCTCAGTCAGCGAATGGAGCTTCAAATGATTACCGCTCAGTATAAGTAGTTCCAAATTGCTGAGGATAGGCTCGAATATTCCATAGACATGCTCTAACCTATTAAACCGTAAGTCTAGTTCTGTTAAATTGAAAAGCTGGGTAAAAGCCTTGTTTCCGATCCTAGAAATTTCATTGCAGCCCAAATTAAGTTTTCTCAAAGACGCCTGGTAGATAAAGACGTTATCATTGATAACCGTAATTTCGTTACCGTCTAAACGTAAATGTCTCAGACTTTTCAAAGCTTGCAGATCTTGGATCGCAATTGACTGAATTTCGTTGTCTCCCAAGTCTAGGTGAGTGAGTTGAGGTAGGTAGTCGTAGATTTCTTTGTGTAAGGTTTTCAATGCACAACCTCGACACTCCAAAGTGCGCAACTCCTGCAAAAAACGAACAAAAGATATTTTATTAACGAATTGTTTCGTTTAATTGTAATGAGTAAAAACGGTGGTCAAAATAAATAGGAACTAAAAGTTCAGATTTTCAAGAAATTATATATTTTTACAACCCACAACCGCCGAAATTATATTCTTTAGTTACATTATATAAACAAGATATGCCCATTAGACCAGTAGTGCCTTATATAACAGCCCCAGAAGTTCAACTTTCAACAAAATTATAAATATTAAAAAGTTCCAAACAGATTTTAAACCAAAATTTGCAATAAAAAATTATTTTCAACTATTCAACAAAATTAAAGATATCAAAATCCCTTCTAACGCAACACTATTGTCTTTTGATGTACAACATTTACTTCCCAGTATTTCACTTATGGATGTGATAGATTTAGTAGATTTCACCCTAACTCGGAAACAGGTTAACCCATTGGTGAAACAAGATTTATTAGATTACTTAATAGTATCTTTAGACCAAAATTATTTTGAATTTAATGGACAGATTTATATCTCTAAAGAAGGTTTGATTATGGGAAACCCACTTAGTCCTTTGTTAGTCGAGATTTTAATAGATACGTGGATGATGTCTTTGCTTGCTTTGTTGGAATGGACAGACAACTGAATTCTTTTTTAAATCATATTAACTCATTACATAATCGTATAAAATTCACGAATGAGATTGAACAGGATAACTCTAATAATTTTTTAGCCTTAACTATTATCAAAACATACACGGTCATACATAACAGCTCAAATCACCCTTATACACACAAAATGGCAGCATTTCACTCTTTTAGACACAAGGCTTCTTAATACGCAGCTCCCAACAGAAAATTACAACAAAGAACCTAATATCATTAAACAAATTGCATTGAACAACGGCTACAATCCGTCCATTATAGATAAAATTATAAATAAAAAACAAATCCAGACAATAGTAAACTCTATTTATCCGAAACCTAATACCGAACACGAACAATTTAAAACAATTACATACCCAGTGAAAAAATTTCAAAACATTTGTCAAAATGTGGTTTAAAAATAGCTTTCAGAACTAACACGATAGGAAAATTTTTAAAAACAAATAAAACGAAATGTCCAAAATCTCAAAAATCAGGTGTCTACAGGTTGAAATGCGGATCTTGTCTTAAAATTTATATTGGACAAACAGGTAGATCTTTCAAGAAACGCATTAACGAACATAAAAGAGCGTTGAAAAACAATAGTCTAGATTCTAATTATGCCACACACTTAAACACAGGAAAACACATTCTTGACGACAATTTTGATATTTTAGATAAGGCCACAAAAAGTAGAGAATTAAATTTATTGGGAGCCATGGAGATTAACAAAATGAGACATTCAAATATATTGCTTAACGATCATAGATTTAAATATTTCTCTTTTATTAAACTTAAATTCTCACAACAACATTAATTAAGGTTTTATTGTAATTTTTAGGTATATATAGTAGCAGGTAGTTTGTAAATATTACATTTGATAAAGACACAGTGTTGTCGAAACAATTGTCATGTAAAAATATATAATTTCGTGAAAAACTGAATTAGTTTTTATTTATTTTTATAAATGGGGTAAAAGCCACCTCAGTTCAAAAAAGGTAGTGCTTAAATCATTTTAAGAATATCACGTTACATAAGGCATTGGTAATTTTTTGATCAAAAATGTAAATTTAAAAAAGTTATAAGCAAGAAAATTTCATTTTGGCTGCTCTGTGTATCTCAAATAATTATAACGGAACCGAAACCATTTCCCATTTTATATTATTTATTTTTTCTGCAATATGGGTATAATATTGATGTAAACTAGTTTGTAATTTTTGCTTAAAATATGTCAATGGCCTGAATAAAAAATTAATTATATTATCTTAAATAAATAATACCTAGTTAAGTTATACCGGGTGACACAAGAAAGTGGGAACACTCCCTAACTTTTAAACGGCTTGAGATAGCGAAATGAAATTTGGCAGAGATAATATAGACTGAATGTCCAATTGTTTGACAATATGTATTCAATGGTTGCACTTCTGGTTTGAGCGGAAACGACAGTAACTTTCGAGTTTTAAATGGCACATCCTACATTTTTTGCATTTTTGGATTCAGATCATTCTACGTAGGAAAGGTTTTTTAATTTTGTTTTGAAATTTTCATTTAATTTCTTGTTTTTCACTTCTTAGGAATTGCAAATATCGTGCACCAGTTAAGGCACCGTGAAGAAAAACAGCACGTCGATGTACAAGAATCTTTTTATATTGACTTCCTGTGATATTTCAGTTTATCGCACAGTATCATCAGATCCTAAATTTTAACTTCCTAACCCTTAACATGTTATGGTAAGCGAATGTCTGGCGACAATACTTTTATTCCGGATATGAGCACTTTCCACAGGCTATTTGAAATTATGAAATCTTATTTGAACCAGTTTCACCTGTGTCATTTTTTCAGCGGTCTTTTTTTTTTTCTTAAATGTCTAGATCTCATTAAAGTTTCGGACAAAAAGCGAGACTGTTTCTTAAATAAAAGGACACAAAGTAAAGATTAGTGTGTGAAATGAATGTGTACATTCGCAAGATGATTGTTTAGACGGAGGTACATTACGAAGGTCAACCGTTCTGTCTATATTATACTGAATAAAAATAACTGCACTAGTCTCACCTGTACGTCACGGAAAACTTCCGGATTGAGAGTTTTCAAATTGTTTCCGCTCAGCTTCAAAATTTTTAATCTTCCAATTTCAATAAACACCCTGTTTACCAATTTGGTTATCCGATTTCGCTGAATTGATAATACCTTAAGGGACTGCAAGTATCGAAAGGTGTTGCTGGGCAAGGACTGGATCCTGTTGTCGTCTAGATACAACTCTTTCAACTTATCCAGACCTTTAAAATCGTGGTCCAAAGGTTGGGTAATATTATTTTGTGACAAATTAAGCACGTCCAGCTTCCGAAGATCCCAAAAGAAATACTGACCCAGCTGTGGTATGTTTGATTTGGTAATGTGGATCTCTTCCAAGTTTTTGAAGCCACCAAAAACCGGCGACATTGTCAACATGTTTGTGTTATCGTCTGGAGCTGTTATTCTCAAGACTTCCGTATCCAGGCTGACATTGGTTAGGCTTATGGGTCCCACCAGACCTCCCTCGTTGCATACTACGGTTTTTCGGCCTTTGAAGTCTAAAGTGCAGGAACAATTTGTCGGGCACTGAGTCGTGGTCAGGGCGTTAGAGACGAAAATTAGTACAAGAAAGAATCCCAACATCATCTGAAATAAAACAATCATTTTTTAGTGCATGAGTTGCTACAATGGTATCATTTATTCAATAGCTTAGACTGCTGACAGAATGGGTTCTACCCGCAGCTTTTCCAAAAATTCTATCTAATTGAAATACAATATTCATAGCTTTTGAATCGGTGATTAATGAGCAGTAAAACATAGCTTAATAAGAGCCACTTTAATGACGAGTCTTTAAGAAACGAGTTTCAAACAATAAATAGTCATTTTCTTCCAATGTTATTTTTCAAAAATTAAGGCACTTCTTAAAGGATAGAATACAAACACCTAAAATTTCAAATTTTCCTAAAATTTTTTTAGGTGAAAAGACTGGATCGCAATCTGCAAAGCTTTAGAAAAAGCTTGTAGAAAGTGAATTGGGACTGTGGTGATCAAATAACCTGATCGACAGTAAACAAATTATTACCTAGATAATGTTAATAAGAACAAAGCTCAGAGAGATCCAAAGAAAAATCGTTAACTGAAAATAACGAGCGACCCGGCGCATGCACCAGCCTCCGAAAAGACGCGCGAACCAAGAAGGGGAGTTTACCGTGCCACCATTTGAAAAACAGACATGTGACACCCACCGTGAGAAGCTATAATATATCTTGGGCCATCTTAGCACGTAAACATGAACATAAAACATACATTTTTAGTAATGTATTGTGTAAATAATTTTAGGTCTTAGTGACTAGTTATTTCAAATCGTAATAATATTGACCCAAAAAACTTCCACCTCCAATAATGACCAATTTTGGTGGATCTAAACAACTTGTAGAATCGCAAAGGGACGGCGTATGCCGCTCAAAATAAATTACCTAACGCGAATGTTATTCTTCAAAATTCCCATTTGGCAGCTGTTTTAATGCCACCCTGGAAGTACTTAAGACCCTTTCCATCCTAAAAGATTGACATTGAAGTGATGCATCTGAATGAGTGCCCAGGTTAAAGCAATTCACTCGACGAAATCCACTTCGTGTCGATAGTTTATGTTTACGATCCATCTTTTGATGAGTTTTTGTTAAAATATCCACACGTTCAATGTTGTACTTTTAATTTTATTGTGGGGTACCTAAACACTTGCCGGTTTCTGCAAAATTTTCTTGTATTAACCAAAACTATAATGCTGTTTGCACTATCTAGGAAAAGTAAGTAGGGGCGAATGTTCGAACATTTTCGGAAATAAATGTTGATAATTCCTGGAAAGCTAATCGCATTTTAGTGAACTTGCAGTCATTAAAAACGGGCTTCTAAGTTATTAATCGTGATGGGATTGCGATTGCCCCATAACCCGCATTTTAATATGCTTCTTCTAACCTATTGTAGGCATATTTGTTTCAATTATTTGCTATTTTGTGCTTGTTGTTGATGGTTTTATAATTTTCCGGTATTGTAGAAAAAATCTTCAAATAATTAGTTTGCTAAAATGCAACAATAGTTTCTGGTATGTTAAGATTTTTTATTTTGAATAAGTGAATTAAATTTGCCTTGGTTTCTTTTTTTTTTGTAATGGCAAACCGAGACAATAAACTAAATTTAAATTGAAGCCCACTTTTCCATTTCCATTCATTTCACATTTTTGACAAGTTCCTCATATTTTTTGTTAGATTAATGATTACGATTTATTTCGTAATAACAACGTTTGTGGAATCGCGATTTAAAAAGATATTTCAACCCAGAGAGTTAATCACGTTAACCAAAGTAAAATTGGTTTTCAAATCAAGCTCTTCACTAACAGATCTTGAATACAAATGTAAAGATACACATTAAAAAAGAGCGACTATTGTTTGTTACATAATGACATGGCATAAGTGCCTAATATGCCACACCACGGATTAAAAGCGCTTTACCTGACTTCCGTTCGGCGATTTCCGGATTAAAGGATAACTATCTATGCGTAGACGCAATAGGAATCCCGTAGAATGAATGTCTTTTAATATGGGTAAAGGTTTGCGAGACATTAATAATGCATGGCAACTAACAGTATTTAGGCAATCTGGCCGTAGTTCTAATCAGTCTATTGCACTTTTTAATAGGTTTACTGAAGATAAAGTTTAATAAGTGTGTGGAATATATTCAGTTTTGCGGATATACAAATCTTGAGCGGATGTCCTATGATATTTGCAAGGACCTTACTTCAAATATAAAAACCTAACACTAAACGGAACCACAGTAATGACTAGCATTGCCAATGTGGTGCTATGGGTCTGTGCTGACGGATATTTTTTTTAAATGTCCTCTCGTTATACAGGGTGTGAGCGTGAGGCAGTGAAAAATTCCTAGTTTTTTGCATTAGGTCAACAACGCCGGACATCTGTGACATTTTTTGATATATTGCGTTGCTATGAAAATAAGGCCGTTCTATGAAATTGCCTTTATATTTTAACATTACAACTAAATAATTAGAGACACACTCTAAACTGCGAAAATGGCGTGCGGAAGGGAGTTTATGAAATGGGGCAGTTATTTTCGTTCGTTATTTTCGTTTTCATTCATCATCATAACTTACTACAACCTTTAAGTTAAAAATTGATATTTTTCGCATCTTTACATTAACATACTGTATAACTAGAACTAGAATAGAAAAATAGAACATCTTCAAAGAAATGTATATTATAGACAACCAAAATTATATATATTATACCATTCAATTTGAACCTAATTTTAGGACCAAAATATAGTGCTTTGAAAAATATATTAAAATTGTAAAATGGAAAAACTTGGCGAGGTTACATCAACGGTAATGAAACAAACAAAGTAACATTTTCGCACACATATTTAAAATTAACAGAGATAATATGAAATTAGCATAATTTTACAATAAAGCCTATTTTTACACCCGCGCGCAATCCTGTAACTTCGGAAATTATCAAAAATATTAAGAATGGGCTATAATATGATATCTATTGGCACTGAGTCTTTGATTGATTGCTTAATTGTGTAATTTAAGTTTTGCTTTACGATCTCTATTTGGCTATATTGATATCCCATTTGCCTACCCTAACTAGATAGCAACTTCATTTCTTTATTTTTAACGCATTCTTATATTCTAAAAACTTAAAATTTTTTAAAAATGAACGAGATTTTGGTTCGGCTTGCCACTAGGTTGCTGTATAATGAGCTTAGTTTTAAGCGTTTCAGTGCGAGGCGATAAAAAGCTACTTCATTCCTGATCTTGGAGTTAAACTAGAATATTATTTATTACTGTTATTATTTGGAAAAGAATCAGTCGCATGACAGATTTATATAGTATAAGCACTGCACTTAGTACTTTCTTCTCGAGATTTAATATTAGAAAATACGAACAAAATTGGGTGACCTCCACGAATGACATTGGCTTATTTACCTCCTTACTGCGTAAAAAAATAAAAGTTGTACTCTACCTACGCAAAAATAAAAAAAATATAAATTGCTTAAATTAACAATATATACAAGTATGCAATACACAGTTAAAAAATCTATGCAATGCAATCATCAAAACAAATGTTCAAAACTACAACTACAACTAAAAAAAACTAACCAAAACATTATTCTCAATATAAAATATCGATTGACTAAAATTATAAAAATAAAATTTCTGCTTTGAATCTGGTTCCAAAATAATATAATTTTTAGGTGCTAACGTATCGTAGATGCATGAACTAACTTACTAATATAGTCTTAGATTTAGGCAAATTATCCAATATACTTGATTAACAAGTACCAATTTTGACAAATAGTACCTACATATTGTAACAGATAAAATAAAATAAACTTGAAATACTTTAATAAAGCCGATTAGCTTGGCTTGTTCGTAAAATAATACCCTTTCTGAAATTCGATACTGGAGTGTTAACAGCTGCGCGCTAAACGATTGTTACGGAATATATTTCCTGTTTCCGCTAAACTATTAAAATGTCCAAAAAGTTTATATCAAATTCAATTAAAAAATTTTTTTAGTATTTATTCAAAAACAGTTCATAGTCATAGACATGTAAAATATTTGAACTTACACAAAACAACAAAACAATTCCTTGATACCTAGTAAATAGAGTTCTAACTAGTCACAAGTCACGTTTAACACTGATCTTTCGGGAAATCTAAAACTCCTAGGTAGAAATACCTACCTTTTATCAACAATTCTAAGCTGTTTAATATTGCCAAGCTATTATGACGTTCTCCTAAATCGCAAGGTGGAATAAAATGACAACCAATGGGCAGGTTTACCTGACATTCTTTCTTTACAATGTATCCAAAGAACTCAATGCAACTAGGGTAGCGTGGGAAACGTAGGTTAGCCTATTGAGTTAGTATTGTGTAACGACCAAAACAATATTTAAATGAACTTCAAAAAATTCTCAGCTTCCCTAATTATTATTGAAACTTAAAATTTTGCAAAATTGACTAACCAAAATTAAAACTGAATAGATGCTGCAATTTCACAGGATTTGTCAAAATAATTTTTACATAATTTGATGGTTCAGAGTTCGTATGTCAATTTTATAAAATTTCTATCCAAGAAACTGTGTTGTAAAGAATTAATTATTTTATCCAATAACCAAAACTAATGAAATGTTTTCGTCGAGAGTTATTCAACAGAACTTGAATAATGTTGATTTTTTTGAGGCAGATATTTACGATTAAAATAATTAATATAGCTGTTTTTATTTCTCGATTTTTTTGCCCTATTTTCACGGTATTTACAGTTGACATTTATTTAAATAAATTATTTTTTGTACTTGCTCTAAATATGAAATTGTTAATTGAAATTTATTTACTCAGAAGGAATTTATTATTGTCTGGAACGTTGTGGTTGACGATTGCATTATAAAGGGAGCTAGACCGAAACCCACGCATAATTATCAAGGAAACTAAGCAGAAACTATAAATTTGTTTCGCGTGCTTCGTGTTTTGTTTCGACTACTTCGTTAGTTGCTTCGTTTCGCTTGTTCCCTGTCTGCAATTAATATATAGGATGTTTCAAACTTGAACGATGCCACATATCAAAA